TTAATGTTTAATTACCATATGTAAGGGTTCGTGCACAGAGGGGATTGTCGGGAAAGAGATGGCTGTTTGAGGAAGCTCCCATTTATTAACATTTCAACAAACAAGTTGCATATTTGCATAACGTATTCAAGTGTTAGCATTTAGTGCAATAGTAGCTACAGAACATGTACTGTGCTGTGTAAACTGTACTGTATCACATAGCGTTTCAGACACACAAACTTTTCAACTTTCAAACTTAAACGGTGCGCTCCCAGCGCACGTTTACCGGCAGTGATCTACAGCAGTGGTTTTCAACCAGTGGTCCTTTGCACAAACTGTCTCGCTCTCCGTAATGTCTGTCTGTCTTGCTCTCGTTCCGTCTCTCGTACCACTCTCGGTTCCACTTTTACTTTTGCGCGCTAGCTGTCTGACTCTTTTCCGGCCTCCAGCTTTTCCTGCTGGAGCCCGCCGCTTAAAGGTGGGGGGCGCGGACCGGCCATAGAGCCCATAGAGTTAAAGGTGGTGGACTGTAACCTGTAAAATCCATAGATTTAGGAGGTCCCCTAGTGGCCGTTAGCTTTAAAAATCCATAGATTAGCCGCACCGTTAAATAAACCGCAGGGTCGAAAAATGGGGATTAAGGCGCGGCTTATAGTCCGAAAATTACGGTAATTGGAATATTGATCTATACAAGTTGCAAACAGATGAATGTTATGGATGTTCTTTCAAAAGTTCAGGTGTTTAACAGTCTTGAGGCCTGTGGGATGAAACTGTCCCAGAGTCTGTATCTCTTAACTACCTCCACAAAGGACATGGGGATTATGGTGTGTTTGTTTGTCAGTAAGTAAGATACTACGTCAGTTTTCACTATCGGTAATATTGCCATATAGGGCATTAAAGGTGGGGTAGGTAATTCACTTCAGAAACACTTTCTGTTATATTCCATGGAATGCTCTTAACATCCCGATAGCAATGAAGACATTAAATGCTTTGACAATAAATACATAAAAAAATGTCCTCTGTGGAAGCCGTGCTGTAAAAATCACGACCAATCATCTGAGCCGGCCCGGTTAAAGTAACTGGATGGCCTACCTGCCTGTCAGCCTTCCATCTGTGCACAAACTTATCTCGTGCCCTCATTGGTCATGTGCGCGTTCGTGTGTGTTGGAGGAGGGACTCTGTAAGGAAGGGGCAGATTTTTTCCGGTTGTGTATTTTCAAATTCTATCGCACTCAAGCTGGTTTCTCCATTCTTACCTACCCTACCTTTAAGCCTTGGCGAAAAGAGTGTCCTTCTACTTCTATCTTTAAAGTTGACTTAATTTTTTTTATGGAATGATAAAATCAACTTCGTAGAAATATGATTCAATGCACTTAAACATTTAGCTACCTGGACCCCACCTGCCTAACACGTTTTGGGGGAAGTATAATGAAGATTTAATATATAAAATAACCTAAATGGCAAAAATGTAATGGAGCATTCAAGGAGGATCATTTTGGATGTTTTTCTGTTGTGTCTCTCAGGCTCTCGGGTTGGACCAGGAGAGCACTAAGGCACTTTTCCGGAGGGCCCAGTCCTGGCAGGGGTTGAAGGAGAACAGCCAAGCCATGGTAACACGCACGCACAGACACACACACGATTAAAACAGCTGTTAAAAATGAAGATACTACCCTCTGACAGTTGAAAATGTACACAATGATGTACGTCTAAAAATATCGATTATCTGGTTTATACAGCTTTACTAGCAACGGTCTCCCCTTGGTGACAACAATGCTTATTTCTTTCATTATGACACGCCCTGGTTTATTCAAGATGAAACAGAATGCATTGGTTTTGCAGACAGTAATTCTACAGGGGGCATTCTGAGGTCACATTGACTCACCCAATGGTTTTCTTCTCCTTTCAGGTTGATCTGAAGAAAGCGCACGCAGTAGCTCCAGAAGACAAAGGTGGGGAATCAACATTTGTCTGTCTCTTCAGTCTTGATCAATTCCAAGAATGATGCAAGAAATGTGCCGCCGTCTCCCACATTTTGCATATTTGTTTTGACATTTCATGCATATTCACGTGTATTATTCAAATTTAGTATGCGAGCTCATGAAGAAAAATAGTCCTAGGATGGCAAGAAAACATCCTGTCCTGATTTGATTTGATTGAGGGAATGAAGTAGCTGTGTTCTGTCTGAGCAGCATGCGACCTAAACATCATTATCTCAGATCTCAGGGTAATTGCTCAAGAATCACAAACTTAGGAGTATGGCTATATTCACTTGCTAGACTGAGAGGATTTGTCAAGCCAACAAAAGCCTGTGTACCCATTTTTTAAAAGAAAATCCCTATTATTTATCTACTTTGATCTGAGAGTGACTCACGATAAAATGCTATTCAGACGGTTGTTAAATTCAAGTGCTTCACATAAACACAATGGCTGAGTCATTGTGATTTATACCAATCTTCCTCAAACAGTGTTTTAAGTTCTAAAGGAACTGAATATATAGCTTTAATGCGGCTATGTTCAATATTTACAGTTAAGCAGCTTAATGTATGGCTTTCTTTAGAGATAGATTGATGGGAGGACCAGGGCTCTCGACTAACTTTTTTTTCACCATCCTCCCGGAACATAATCTAAGCCGTCCCGAAATTAAAATATTAGTTTTTCGACATTATCATTTGTTAAAATCATTCAAAGTGACCTTTAACATAAATAAAACATCATACAAATCATCAACCTTTTTATTTGAGGAAATCAGTCAAACACAGAAACAAAGGCCAAATATATATATTTAAAAAAAAACACTAACGAGAAAGTTACTCTAATATTGAATCCAATCAAGTCCCATCCAACTAACAAACAAATCCAACACTCTGTCCTGAAGACAGAACCCAGAGTAACCACTAACCAGGATGACAGTCTGTAACACAGTCAGGAGACCTTTACAAACTGCCCCGCCCCCTCGCACACAGACGTCTGGATTGGAAAGATCGCATGTTGTAGTCTTATTGCATAATAGAAACGGAGTTGGCGAAACTAAAACTGCGATATAATGTTTATGTAGCAATAGTACATAAGATGTATATTTTTGAAATGTCTCCAGTACCATAACGTCGGAGCTTAACGGTCCCACGTTCTTTAATAATTCCGGCCCGTTTGATACCGGGGCTCGGTACCCATCCCTACATGGGGAGAGGCGCAGCATATTGCTAAGGACTGAATGCGATGGAGAGATCTCATCATTCGCGGGCAGCTGTGCCGCTGGCTGTCGGTAAACATACTCTGTGTGTGTGTGTTTATGTTGACAAGGAGGTTTAATAACTGTGTGCTTCACAAAACGTGCTGTCAGTTTCATCGCAGTAGAGTTAGCAGGCTATTTTTATTTTAACTCTCGTCCCAACATTTTTTTTTTATCCTCCTCGACTCTTATTTCTTTCGGCCCCGGGACGCCCTTAAGCTCGAGCCCTGGGGAGGACATTCCCGCCAGAAAGTCTGAAATACTGTTAGATTTGAGTTAGGGGAACAATTTAGAAGTGTTTCAAATCCCTAATGTCTCAAAGCTGAGTGGAGTGGGTGAAATTGAGCTCTTAGCAAATCTGCAGCTCCTTTCTGATATTTGAAGCAGCAGTTTATCGGCTGTTTGGAGATGTGTAAAAGCGAGCTATAAGTACGATTTACGCTCTCAATGTGCCTTAAAAAGAAATACCCCCCCTCTCTCTCTCTCTCTTCACCTCTCCCTCTCTTCACCTCTCCCTCCTCTGGATTTAAATGTTGATGATGATGTGCAAAATGACTGCAAAGGTGAAAAGCAATGTTTGAAATCCCAGCACCAAAGATGAAACATAACTTTGATTGATTGTTGATCTAATCCAAAGTGTTTTCTTTTGGCAGCTGTCAGCAAAGAGTTGAAGAGAGTTCAGCTGATCATCCAGCTGGAGAAGGAGAAGGAGAAGAAAATCTATGCCAAAATGTTTGCGTAAATACCTCGCCTAATGCAACGAATTCTCTCTTTAGCAACGTTTATCGATATATGAATTCATGTGTGCGTGGGGAGCTGCACTCGGTCCGTCAGCAGGTGAAGTGTTTTCAGTTTGCAGGTCTGTTCATGTTTTCAAGCTGCCACATCTCAGCGTCTGTGTTGTTTTAAGGGAATAACTGTTGTAAGCTTCGACCTGTCTTAATACTGACACGTGTCCTCACTGTAATGAATAGTTTGAGCGTTAGTCTGATGCATGGCTGACTCCACTGCTCTGAAAAAGTGGGTTAACATTTATCACCGGCCCTTGTTCCAGGGGCTTGAAGTAGTTCAGCAAAGCATTTACTGTATATGTTGTTAAGTTTCACGCTAAGGATTTTTGATACAGTGCCCTTAGCCACACAACCTACATCAACCTGTCTTTATTTATGTTTTTTACAGAATTAAACAAAAAGGACAACAGTCAAAAGTGCTTTATTCGTTAGTGTGATATCATCAAATGATTTTATGTACAATACTGAGCAGATCAAATGCTGTCCAAATATTCCTGGAATAAATGCTGAATAAACCTGAATTTGAGAGCTGCTTGTTCATTTACAGAGGAAATATATCATGTATTACAGTTTGTTGGGTACCTCATTTTAAAACACAATAGGCGCTTTCACACCGGAGTACTTTTACCCGTACTTTTCCCGTTTAGTTCCTGGGATTTTGCGTTGACACCAAAAAGAGAACTTAGTTCAGATAACTTTTCAGTCCCTGCTAGAGATGTGGTACTTTCCTGGGCAAATTGCAAACCACGCCCCGTAGAACTCTGAAAAGTTTTGTGAAGGCGCCATTAGCATTATTAGCATTAGCCCTGCGCACCAACAGATAGACTAACTTATGGCAACACAAAAAAAAACATGGGAGCGGTGGAGTGAGGAGGAGGTGTCGGCGTTCTGGCGATTTACTCGGAAGACTCCCCAACTCCGGGGACTTCGGGTGGCAGTATACGCCGTGAAGTTGTTTGCGGCCTGCCAGTAACCCAAAGCAGCAGAAGAAGAAGAAGTGACGTCAGCGGCTTAATTTGCCTAATCTTCAGTCAGGGGACTTGTGTGAACGCGATCTGCTCTTAGTTCCATGGGGGAACTAAGTGCTGGGATGTGAAAGCGGCTAAAGATCCACTTTATTGTAAAACTACTTTTAAATGCCCATATTGTTTTATAGCCGTTATGAAGCAACTGCAACGTTTGATCAAAGCTCAGTTTAATGGTCCTGTTTGGATGGATTTCACAACCAATGCCACATTTTAAACGTAATATAACTGCAGAAATTAAGGATTTCTATAACAAAAAAGGCATTCATATTTCTAATATCCTTTCTTTTTGCAGATTTAATCTTTTAAACCCAGCTATATATTTGCTTCCTGTTCCATAATTAGGCACATTCACCATCGCTGGCAAGTACTGCAGCCCCGGATGATACTTTACAGTCATCTTTCTAGACATAGGTTAAAAAAAACACGATGTTCACATCCCGTTGTAGGCTGGCCCTCCTCCGCCCTCAGGCACCACCCAGTTGATGTTCTGGCTCGGGTCCTTGATGTCACACGTCTTACAGTGGACACAGTTCTGAGCATTAATCTGAAGCCTCATCCCATCTCCAGTTTCCAGGGGAACATACTCGTACACACCTGGAGAGGGGGGGGGAGAGAAGTAATGTAGTTAGATCGACACATACAGAGAAAGAGGGAAATACTTACGTTAGTTTGAGTTCCACTATCCCATAATCTTCTCTGTCTGTTACTTTAGATGAAAATAAGGAGCCCCTCTGAGAGATGTTTGGTTAACAATAACACAATGGTGCTCTAGGAGGAGATTCAGGTGATAAGGTGTCTGTGTGGGGGGGTACCTTGGTTGCTGATTGGCTAATAGTTACACAAGCCAACAAATCGTTATGACATCATAAAGTGGCCAAAATCTGATCAGCTCATTTTCAGACAGGTTTTGATAGAAATGGATCAGGACAAAAAGAGAGAGAATCTTTTTTCTTGAAACTTTCAGAATCTCTTTACCCAGAGGGGACACATGTTGATGTAGAAGAGACATAAAAAAGTGGATTTTGCATAATAGGTGACCTTTAAGGGAGTTATCAAATACTAATGACAATTTGCCCTTTTAAAAAGGTCAACGCAGCGTTTCATATTTATTAATACATTTCTGTTTTCATGATGCCAGGAATCAGAAGTACATACTTATTTCACTGAACATAAGTTTCCTTGACCATGCTTACTGTAAGATGTAATAATTGTATTTCTTATACAAATACTAATTTACTGTCAGAAATGTTACCAAGGAAAAAAAAAAAACCATATAGTGTGAGAACTCTGAGCAGCAGTGTGATGTGGACACAGCTGAGTTTCATCTTTTTAAAGCAGCCCTATTCTGTTTCCCTTTCCTGTAGGGTGTTATAAAGGTTTTTGTGCATGTGCAGTAAGTGGTCTGCAGGGCTAACATCCCAAAGTTCCCTCCAACATATTAACCTGAGCACAACAGGACCCCTTTAATGATTAAAACAATTGCCTCGATGCATTTTGTATTAAAAAGGTTTACAGGAATACAACCTGCTCTCATACTGCTTTGGATATTGATTGCAAAATTGGGAAACGCTGCTCTCTTTTATACAGCCTAGTCATCTAATTATGCATAAAACTAGGGGTGCATTGTGTAGAGAAGTTAATTATACTAAAGACACATTAATTTGTACACATTTGATGGAAAGAGTGTATAAAAGAGTTGTATAAAAGTTATTAAAACCAAAGCGCTTTATAAGCACTATGCGGGTTAATTACCTCTGCCTACAGATTAGCCTGACGCACGACATGTGAATCTAAAGGAGGTTAATTAAATCGGGGATGAAACACAGTGATACATCCTTTAGACTCTAAAGGGAGAGTATAATATGTAACGTTTATTTCATGTTAAAAGGATCAGCTGTCCCAAATTGCTGCTGCTGCCAGAAAACAACAATGCTGCACTTGTCATTATTATAAAAGTTATTAACTTCCCTAACCTGAGAGTTTCTGCACTAAGTGCTTCATGTTTTATTCCCACTCCCTCAGCTCTTTGTCACAAAGCATCTCTGCAGAGGCTTCTTCACCTCATGCTGGACATCATTAGGTTTTCACAGCGTTCAGAGAAAACCAGGTGTCTTTGTCCTCATCTGGAGACTTTGGACAAACCCGGAAAACACGTAAAGCTCAAATGTTTTCAGCCAATGTTTTTGATTTGTGTTAACAATCAGCAGATGTTCCACTTCAGTAGTTTCAGAAGAAAAGGTGAGGTGTTGCGGAAGAGCAGGGTGCGAGTGAGAGGTGCCATCTTCCCTTTACAAGCTTCAAACATGTATTTATCCTGCGACTGATTTCGATAGTGACCCGCTCTATCAAAATCAGTCGTATTGACCCGAAGACACATTTTGAGTTGTATACACTGCTGGAAAGAGGAGATTCCTAGCTTTCTAATGATTTCAGGATTTCTTTTGTACTCCAAATATTAAGCAAAATATGTCACATTATATAATGACTGTCACGAGTCATCATTTTTAGAAAAAGGCCTTCAAAGTTTCTTCTTCTCTGGAATCCATCGATCTGATTGGTTATCAGCGGAGCAAATGATCAAAATACTACGGAGGGAAGATATTTTCGTTTGGATTACTGGTCTGGGGGAAGCTCGCGAGTGTGTGTGTGTGTGTGTATACGTGTGTGTGTTTGTGTGTTTTTGCGTTTGTGTGTATTGTGTTGGTTTCCCGGGGAAAACCCTCACGAGAAACACCGGCTGTTGTTATGCCTGCTGTGACGTCAAGTTACTCCGTTCTCCGCTTGTTATGCCGTCACAAGCTTCAAAGTTGTATTTATCATCTGAATTTGCCGAAACAAGTTTAATATTCTGAAAGCCAAGACTTTCTATAATTGAAATCAGATGAAAACAAACTGTAACTGACCCTGCCGTGTTATCTATGATTACTATACGCTTACATTAATAATCATAAGCGGCGCTGCGGAACAGCAGAGTTGCGAGTGAGAGCTGTCATCTTCCCTTTACAAGCTTCAAAAATGTATTTATCGTGTGATTTTGGAAATACAAGTTTCATATTCTGAAAGCCAAGACTTTGTTTATTTAAAATCAAACAAAACACCCGAACCCCGGAAAACTATTTTTTTACGCAAATCCACGTTTATTTTGAAATGAGCCGTTGCGACTTCCGACTGATTTCGATAGAGCGGGTCACATTTGTGTGTGTATATATACATATTTGCACACATATTTTTATAAACATTTGTTTTTATATTTGGGATTGTGGGAAACGGTATTTCGATCTCTCTGTCTGTACACACAAACTGGAAGATTGTTACCTGCGGGGCAGAAGCGCTGCTCCGGGCCGTCGTAGATGGCCAGGTTCCTCTCCACCGGGATGCTGTCGTTCTTCAGGGTGAGGTGGGCGGGCTGGTCCCCCTCGTGGTTGGTGCCGCTCAGAGCCACAGAGGAGAGCAGGTCGAAGCTTATCTTCCCGTCGGGCTTGGGGTATTCGATGGGGGTGCACTCTTTAGCCGGTTTCAACTGTTCGGCGTCGAGGCCTGAGAGAGATGGAGCACTGACGTTACCAAATGTGGATTTCCTCTGATAAACAACAGCATTAGAAATCTACACTGCTCCACTGCATGTGTTATATCCTTCATACATTCAGGTAAGGTCACTACACTGAGCTGTTGGTTCTTATAATGAAGTGTTGTAAGGGTTTGACTAAAGTTGCTGGGGTTGAGTCAAACTCTACAAAGGGTACATGTTACCGACGGGAAAACATCCAGCACATGCCCCTCTTAACCAGTTCAATATTTCTGTATTTGTTACCTAGTCAATTAATACATTTGAACAAAAACACACAACATATGTCTTTAAATGCAGACACAATAATATATTCTATAGCTGAATGATCAGTGAGTCCCATGTGAGTGAAAGGGTGTACGCAATATATATATAGTTCATGAAAAGTAGTCCAACAAAAATAATATAATCCACAAAACTCCATTCCAGGTTTTCTTAATCCAGTCCACGGTTATTCCAAAGCAATAATCCACACCTAGAAACAGGTTAAACTGGTTCTTTGCAATAAAGTTGTGTAAAATAGACACAATTCAGGATAAGAAAAACCCTCCATGTTTATTCTACTTTACTGCTGCCTTTGTCTCTTCATTACAGTAACTCTATCAAACAAGGACTACTTGACCACTGAGTGAACATGTCCTGTTTGTAATTACTGCATGTTCATTCATTTTTTATGTAATTTGCCGTTTAAAAATCGTTTTTTGTATTCATTTATTCATGTAGCAGCACTTGTTGCTGCTGTTTGGACCAGGAATTCCCCCTGAATCTAAATGTGAATTGTCCTGAGAAAACAAAGGAAAATACATTTCCTCTTAATATTTGTATTGTATGCAGAGGGAAACTCCTTGTATGTGAAAACCTTTGTAACAGTTAAGCTTTTGTATTATCTGCTACAACTTTCTGAGACTATAAACCTCTGATACAGGGGTTTTCAAAGTGTGGGAAGGTGAACCTCCCCTCAGAGAACATAAGAACAGCCGCGCCCCCCCAATTATTATTGCTATTATTATTATTATTATTATTGTTGTTGTTGCTATAATGCAGGGTTATTATTATTATTGTTGTTGTTGCTATAATGCAGGGTTATTAGTATCCAGTGGAATGCCCGTACTCACTGGCCTAGTTAAACCAAAGTAGCTGGGCAGTGGAGTTTTACACACCGTCTTATTTGACTTTCTCAGGACTTAAAACTGTTTTTTGGGGGAAGACCCTCACAAAGAAAAAAATATATTTACACATGTAAGGTCATCATCTTAACAGTTTGTTATGCTCATCGAGTCATCCGTGAGCAGAGCATCAAGTTGGTATGCCTATAACAGCTGAATGCGGCGATTACCATGTTGTTCAGCAAAACGCCTCACAAACTTATTAAGATTTAAAGCTATGGTGCATTTTGATTCAACGCTGAGCACAGCCTGAAGAACATATCGAGGATTAAAAAACTAATGTCACAACAGGACTTAGAAAAGCTTGTCCATGCTTTTATCTTCAGTAGACTCGACTACTGCAATAGTGTATTCACAGGGCTGACAAAAAAATCCATCAGAAAACTGCAGCTGATTCAGAACGCCACTGCACGTGTCCTCACTAACACTAAAAAGAGTGGATCACATCAGTCCGGTTCTGAAATCTTTACACTGGCTTCCAGTCGGCCAAAGAATTGATTTTAAAATCATTACATGGTTTAGGACCAAAGTATATTGTTGAACT